ATTGTGCGTTTTGTACCCAAAAACACTCAAAATGGAGAATCGCAGTGCAATTTGCGTAGGAAGGGCTTCCTTCATGTGCAAAATGCAGCCGGATTGTGCGTTTTGTATCCAAAAACACTCAAAACGGAAAATCGGAGTGCAATTTGCATAGGAAGCGCAAAAACATGCAAAACGGATGGGAATCTAGGTTTAAGAAATCTGGGCCTAGCGAGGGTCTAATTTAAGAAAGTTGGGCCTAGCGAGGGTCTAATTTCTTGTTTGGAATGATTTCTTATTAAATGCGTTGCCCGTACTCGTACTTCTACTCCGTCTCTACCACTACCACCACACTCCTACCAAAACCTCTGCTGCTAGATGAGAACTCGATGCAAGGAAGTGGCTCCTCCCGAGAAGTTTGGCCCAGGGACGGGGCATGACAGGACGGATTGGCGCCAGTTTTTGGGGGTGCAACAGCCGTGGGCGGCCTCTAGGGGTTTGGAAGTATTGGGATGCTGGGTTTCAGGTTTTGGAACGTTGGGGAATGCCGGGGCCGGAACCCAAAACCCGTTTCTGAGATTTAGGTGTGTCTTGGTGTGTGTTGGTTGGGGGCTGGGAGCTTTGCATGCTTTGTCCATGTGTAGAACTCCCTGAGTCCCCAATATTTTTGGAGACAGACATGTGCTCTTACGAGGTCTGGCAGAGGGTTCCGTCTGTTTAAGTGTTAGTTAGTTTCGATGAGCAGTAAACCAGGCAGATACTGTAGAAACCAAAACCGCCGTCTGCCTGAATATTTGTCAGCTATCTGTCTGTCTTGTGATCGCTTCTCGTAATGTTAACACCATTTCCCCCTAAGATGAAAACTGGAGGTGGGCCGATATTGTTTGATTTTAAGTCGGCTGTGACTGGGAAGCTGTCAGCGGACTGAAACTGGTACTCCTGCCAGTGCTGCTTGCAGTACTACTTCTACTGTCGGTGTCACCACTACCGTCAGTTAATTACTACGGCTGATGATATAAATCCTGCATTACCCATAATAAGGAATAGACCATAATTCCCATAGTTTAGGGTCCTTAAGGTAATGCAGGATTTATATCATCGACAGTACTTACTTTTCCCCCTGTACTAACTAGGCGTAGTACTGCCAGTGACCACTCCCTAGGCCTCCAAGCTGCTCAGTTTCGGGATGCTGGGATGACGCTTGCCTTTAGGAGCGACACGTCAGAAAGTCTCAAAAAATAGATGGTCTATCCTCTTTACAAGCCCATAATTTCTCTCTCCAGAGAGTTATGATGAGGCGTGAAGCCTTAGGCCTCAGGCCTTGCCTCAGGTTCGGGGCTGAGAGTTGAGAGTTTGTCGAAGGCGTTTCGGGTTCAAATTGCCAAACATCCTCAGAGTGATGACTCCCTCGGCCTGCATGAGTGGTAGGTTGCCCGCTCTGTGTCTTGCGATCCGACAGGACAGTCTACAAACTCATCGTGAGAAGGCGCGCGGTGCTCCCAAAGAAGAAGCCTCACCGGCAATGTTGCTTACCCTTATGGAATCCAGAGAAGGCATAGTATCATCGCACAAGGTAGTTCACGACAAGTTGCAACTTTTGCACATAAGAACCCAAGGTAATTAGTGGTGCTTCCAGAAGCCCGAACCCATGGGTTGTCAAGCCGAGTCCTTTATAGCCGGCCCTGCTAAGTTTGGGCTTGGCGATTGCAGGCGTTTGGGTCCAAGGATTCGAGTTGTTGTCGCTTGTAGTACTATCAACTTACCCGAAGAGCTCGCTTTGGCGCAAGCGTGCGAGCCGTTTGGTTCGAATCGCATGTGAGGACTCCGGAAGGATCCGAGATATGACGAAACACAGGCCTGTGGGGTTTTTGGTAGATGATCTTCGGGGTGTCCGACACATGTTCGAGGCAAGCTGACTTCCAAGCAGCCTTATTGTGCTGCCCCCAGCTGATCACACCGGCTTCCTTGGCGCTTGCTCTTTAGAGGGGAAGAGACTTCGTGGTCCGCATCCCCCTAAACTCTACTTGGAGGTTCATTGGTAGTTATAAGTGGGGTTATAAGTCCCCGAATATGTATAGTTACCCTACTTATAACCCACTTATAACTACCCATGAGCCTCCTGTCAACTGCAGGTATCCTTCCGTAGTTCAGTGCTGTGCAAGGTCATCTGAAGAACGTTGACTACATGTCGTTCTACCGCATTCTGCGGCTCAATGCCCCTAAGGGGCCCCTTGAGCGCCTTAGGCACGACATTTTCTGTGTGAGCTTAGAGTAGAAAATAACATCCGCCATCACGCTACTGCGCAGCTCTGCTGTGGCAACTTGGTGCTGCAGACCTTGTGGGCTGCTTGCTACCTAAATTGGTAGCGGGGCCTACGGGCTCCTGACGACGACCTTTGGGACGACGACGACACTCCGAACGACGACGACATGGCTACGGGCCAACAGACGACAGCTGCCCCCAGTACCGAAGGAGGCGGTCATAGCCCTGTTGGCATGGGATCATCAAACACCCAACGTGGCCTCGATAGTGGGCTGGCGAAGGCAGCTCCGACAGCTGAGGGCTTGAACCAGAAGACCTACAGGTCTTACCGGCGCAGGCTAGTCCTTTTTAGCAAGCAGTGTGCGCGTCGTGGGCGCAACACTTCAATCGAAGGCGCTTTCCTATGCCTTTCATTGCTTCAGGACACTGCCTGGGACGCAACAGAACAGTTGGATATCGATACAATCGAGAGCAGCTCTGACCCCTTCTCTCCGATGCTGAAGCTCCTGGACAGGTTGTATCAGTACGAGAATGATGTTGAACTTCCCGGCCGCTGTGAGGAATTCTTTCAAGAGTTCTCTCGCCTCAAAGGCGAGGAGTTGCAAGCCTACTTGATAAGACACGCAACCATGCACAAGAAGATGTCCGAAGTCGGTGTTGCTCTTCCTGATCTTCTTGCAGGCTGGCATCTCATGACGCGGGCAGGGATTCCCAAATGGACGCACATCCAAGTGAAAAGCCTTTGTGGAGGTGAGCTCCAATATCAGAGAGTTGCCCAGGCATTGATGAAAATGTTTGGAGGCGACCACAAGCCGAATGTCAGAGACTTGTTTCGTGCTGGCACCTCGGAGGCTAACTTCGTCGATGACGAGGGCGCTGACGTCTTCTACGAAGAGGCCGATGGCTATGGGCAGTACGAGGCCGACTTCTACGAGCACGACGGCTATTACGACGACGATTTCTCCGGCTATGACGGCGATGCCTACTTTGCAGACGGCGATGTGCCGGAGGACTTAGAGCAGGCCACGGAGGAGATGGACGATGCTTACATGAATTATGTTGAGAGCAGACGCCGCATGAAGGAGATAGCTCTTTCTCGAGGCTTTTTCCCGGTGGTTGCTGTGGCCCCTCCTGAGTGGCAGGCTTCATCGCCACACTCTGGAGGTAAGAGTGGCAACAAAGGCCGAGGAAAAGGAAAGGGCAAAGGAGGTGGCCGATCTAAAGGTTCCGGAAAAGGTGGAGGAAAAGATGGTTTTCGTAGATACGCTTTCAATCGTGTTCCTGCATCCGGGCTTCGTCGCAGTGCTGCTTCCAATCAGGCTCCTTCCAACAATAGTGGTGACCAGCTCAAGTCAACAGGAAGCGGCTCCACTTCAGCGCATGGTCCACGCTTCAAGCGCTATCGTCTGCAGGATGCCCCAAGCAAACCCGTGGATGACGCCAACATGGTCGACGACATCGCCGACCTAAACACCCGCGATGTGTCAGATTCTGCTGAGCTCGAGATCCATGTCTCCGCCATCAATGCAGCAGAGGAAGTCTATTTCAATGAGGTCGCTCCCGGTCATGCGATTGTCGATTCTGGAGCAACCAGGACTGTGGTTGGTGACAGGGTCTGGGAGCAGTGGCTTCAGTTGCTCGGTCGCGCTGGCCGTCAAAACGAGGTAGAGGTTCGAAAGCAAGTCCGCGATTTCAGGTTCGGTGACGGCTCCACCCTCAGATCAAGCCTTGAAGTGACGTTTCCAGTGGTGGTTAGCGGTCTGGCAAAGAGGGTAACTGCTTCCATCATTCCTGGTGCTACCCCTATGCTTCTTGCCAGGCCTGTCTTAGAGGAGTGGCGAGTCCTTCAGGACTTTGCTTCTGGACGGCTACGGCTAGATGGGCAGACAGAGTGGTTGACGCCTGCCAGAACGCGCAATGGCCACTATTTGCTCAACTTAGCCCCTGAAGTCAAAGACCAAGCATTGCATACCGAGGATGATGACAACGATGAGCCCTACACGGACACACCTTTGGTGCTTTGCCCTGGTGAATTCCCAGACGATACAGACGCCGCCTACAACATGGCCAACGACGAAATTGATATCGCCGCTGAAGAGATTGATGCGGCGATTGCTACGGCCGAGGCGGTGGTGAATTTCAACCAAGAGGGTAGGCGAAAAATCTTTTGGGAGCTCTTCGTGGACCAGGGGAGCCTCAGCAATGCCCTCGCTCAAAAGGTTCCTGGAGTGGAGGTCTCAACATTCAGCTTGCCCGAGTGGGACTTCAACCAGGCGGCGACGCAAGAGTCTTTCTACGCCCTGATGCGGAAGATTATGCCCAGTCATGTTTGGATGGTACCACCTCGTGCAATCTGGTTGCCCATGCAGAACCTCAACAGACGCACTGAGGCCCAAGACCGTGGATTGCTGCAACAGCGCATGCACCTGTCCAAGGTACAGCTGCCTTTTGTGTATCACGTCTTCCTCTTAGCACTGGAAATTGGTGCCCATGCCACACTCGAGCATCCCTTCAAATCCGTCATGTGGCAGGTCAACCCCATCAAGCAGCTGCCCGAACACTACGACATCAAAGTAGACCGCTGCAGGGCTGAGTCTATGCACAAGCAAACGTTGTCGAAGACCACTTCGCCTGGCCTGGCACAACACCTTGCATTGGCTTACAACCGTACTGTTCCGAATGTGCATGCGTTTGCAAAATCCGCTACAACAGATGCGATTCAAGATTATGAGGTTGGCTTCATCAACAACGTTGTCCAAGCACTCCAACAGGACATGGAGGAGACGTGGGCAAAGCGTGAGATGGTGCATATCATGATGATGGAAGACCTGCCGGCCTCCAACAACAACAGCCAGCACGCAGTGGAGGAAACCAACAAGCACTTGGCGCGCAAACATGGGCGTCATGCAGTGCTTACCGTTGCGAAGCTGCATAGGCAACTGGGGCATCCGGGTAATGACAAACTTTGCAAGGCCGTGAAAGACAGCAACCTCGGCAATGATGTGGTGCAGGTGGCTCGACTCTACAAATGCCCGACTTGTTTGTCCCACGCTCCGGCTGCACTTGCTCGCCCTGGTGCAATGACTACAAAGGCTGCTTGCTTTAACCAAGTGCTCCTCATCGATGGTTATGCTGTTCGCTGGCGCGGGGATAAAATCAACATCCTTGCCATGATGGATTCCTTCTCTCGCTTCGAACAGCAAGCACAGCTGATTGATGACAGCGCGGAGTGCGAAATCAAAGTTCTTGAGCAGCATTGGCTTCGCTGGGCTGGGCCCCCTGGGGCCATCAAAACAGATGCCAGCGGCTCGCACATGAGCGACCGCTTCTTGGCTTGGGCAGACGACCGCAACATCAAACTCATCGTGATTCCAAAAGAAGCGCATTATCGACTTGGGGCGATGGAGAGGGCCCACGCTGTTAGGCGAGCGCAACTTATGAAGATGCATGATGAAGTTACGGACCTGTCCTTGGAAAATGCCTTGCAGTATGCCGTTGAACAGCGCAATCGTTTGCGCACCATTCATGGCAGTGCTCCTGCCAGCATCGTTTTCGGTGCTCTTCCTGACCAAGGTGGTGTTGATGATGAGCCGTTCAGTGTGGCTGCCGCCGACGCAGCATCCCAACACCGAGTGCGCGAGCTGCGCACCCTCGCGGCAAATGCTTTTCACGAGGCCAACTCCGACCGTGCTCTTCGTGCTGCCGTACTTGCACGCTCACGCCCCGAGCCCATCATGCACAATGTCGGCTCCTATGTGTTTTACTTCCGGCAACACGGCACTGAGAACAAAGGTGGCAAGCTCAACCCCGCTGCACGTTGGCGCGGCCCTGCTTTGGTTTGTGCCGTAGAAGATCCTGACAACGGTCGTGCTGGTTCCCTCGTCTACTGGCTGGCGCATGGTACCAGTTTAGTTCGGTGTGCTCCGGAACAGATTCGGCCTGAACTCCCGGCCGAGCGTGCGGGCCGCCTCCACGAAGCCCCTGAGACGGAGGCTTCGCAACCTATCATGCAACGCATTGTCGCTGCCTTGCATCCTGTTCGCGGCCCTGTTCGTTTTCTTGACCTTTGCCCCCGATCGTCGGCAGCTGACGCTTCCGAGGATGCCTCTGGCTTCACTTCCACTGAGGGTGCCTCCCTTTTGACGCCCTCCGCTTCAACGAAGCGACCTCGCCAGATGCCGGCAAACGCAGGCCCGGAGCCAAGTGACATGGAGACGGAAGCCAACACAGAGACACAAACACGGGAAGAGCAGCCAAAGCATCAACAACACGCACCGCCGTCGGATGAGCTGACACGACAACCAGATCAACAAGCCGAGCTTCAGCCCTCGGACTTGCACAGTCAAGCGCAGACACAGGAGCAAACAATGCCCCGACCACAAGATCAACCATCCGCAGAGCCATCGCAGTTGCAAGTACGCAACAGGTCCAGAAGTCCCCCTCGTGAAGCTGCAATTCGCGAAGGCATCAATCGAGCCAGAGTGTTAGATGGGTTGCCACCGTTGCCAGCGCAGGCCCCAACCCCCAAAGTGTCGTCTACGAGATGGTCCTCCCCGGACGTCACTCTCGATGACTTCGCGGACGTCGACGAGGAGCTCATCACCTCTGAAGATGCGCCGCTCGCCTGGGTGCTGGACGAGGCTCTCATTGCAGCAAACGAGCTCGCGGAGCGACACTTGTCTGTGGAGGAGAAGCTTGCTTTTGACACCGCCAAGGACGACGCTTTGCGGCCTTGGATTGAGAACATGGCGTGGACGAGAGCCAAAGCAAGCGAGGCCAATGAGGGCGAAGCCGTTCCTATGCGATTCCTGCTGAAGTACAAGGACAAGGACGGACAAAAGAAAGCCAATGCACGCATCATTTTGCAAGGATTTCGTCACACGGACGTCGCCAACAAGAAATTGGAGACCGAATCCCCAACACTCTCCAAAATCGGCAAGAGTCTCATCCTTTTCCTCTGTGCGCAAATGCAGTGGAAGGTGTGGTCAGCCGATGTAAAGTCCGCCTTTTTACAGGCTGATCGCATCGACGATGAGGTCCGTATCTTTGCGATCCCCAATGGTGATATTCGCAGGAGACTGGCTAGAATGATTGGGCTGAGAGACGATGAAATTATGAAGATCCTCAAACCAGCTTTCGGTGATGTTCGAGCACCAAGACAGTGGTATGGCACGGCAGATCGAGTCATGACCGCTGAGATCGGCCTGCTACGACACAAGCTGGACAAGTGTGTGTACATGAGCGTGCGCCCTGCCTCTGACAAGGACGACACTTTCCGGACTTTCAACGTCAAGGGTGCCGCCTACGTTGTAGACGGTGTTCTGGGAATCCATGTGGATGATTTAGTCGGCGGCGGCGAGGGTGTCAACACAAAGGCCGATGTCGAGCAGGAGGGTCCGCACGAAGCAAGCTGTTTCAAAGATCGTGCTCAGCTTTTGTTACATCGCTTCCGCTTCGGCAACATCGACTTCGGCTACGACCAGGTGTTCTGCGGCGTGTCGTTGATGCAAAACATCTCGCACGACCTCATCAGCCTCAACCTCCACGACTACGTGCACCACATCAAACCGATCACCATTGAAAAGAACCGTAAGCAACTTCCAGACGAGCCCCTGTTGGACAAAGAGGTCGCCCAACTTCGGTCCCTAATTGGGGCACTAGCTTGGCCGGCCACGCAATGTTTGCCAATGCTCTCTGCGTCGATTTCGCTGCTTCAGTCTGCGATGTCCAGCCCGAGGGTGAGCGATCTGCTTGAGGCAAACAAGACCCTCAGATTCGCGAAAGAGGCCGTCGACAACTATTCTCTGAAGTACCACAAGCACGGCGACTACCTCAGCCAGCTCACCTTCGGCGTCTACACTGACGCTGCCTGGGCTGTTCGTGGTGACGGTTCTTCCCAAGGCGGTTTTGTGGCGTTTGTGGCGGCCAAAAGCCAAGTGGACTCCGGCAAGCCTTTTCCGCTAACTACGCTGGACTGGGCCTCCAAGAAGCTCACCAGGGTGTGCAGGTCATCGCTGGCGGCCGAAACACAAGCTGGAGCAAATGCCGTGGACGAGCTGGAATGGCTACGTTCTTTCTTCGGCTTGATATTGTGGCCACTAGAAGACCCCCTGTCTGAAGGTCTCTCAAAAGCTTTCGGCGCCTTCGCAGTGACAGACGCCAAGAGCTTGTACGACGCCTCTGAGTCCATGAGCTCTGGACTCAAGTTGTCGGAGAAACGGAGCGCTATCGAGTTGGCAATGGCCAACGACCGCTTAAAAGCAATGGGCGGCAAATGGCGTTGGTGCAACAGCGCACAACAGTTGGCCGACGGGCTGACGAAGGTGTCTGCTCGTCCTCTTTGCTTGGAAAGCTTCAGTCGCGGTGTCGTTGCACTCAAGTTCGATGCGACCATGGTCGCAGCAAAGAAGGTTTCCGCAAGCGCTCGACAAGCTGAGGTTCAGGAACTCGACAATGCCGCCCAACAACTTTCCCAGAATGAGGCACTTGTGGTGCACTCTTCTCTACCTGTCTGCAAACTTCCTGGTTGCAACAAGAAGGTGAACAACACTGCCGCTGGTCATCTGTACTGTTCACGACGCCACTTCTACAAAAGCTTAGCCCCACAGGATGCAATGAAGAATCGTGCTCTTTTCGCAGCTCTCACGTTGGCAGCTGCAGCAACGGAGGCTGAAGGCTACGACCTGGCCCGCTTCATGAAGAAGAAAGTGACACGACCGCCGATGATTCCAATGCAGTTGGTCCTCGACTTCCTCATCCTGGCTACCATCTTCCTCTCCGCGACGCTCCTTGTGATCTTCTGGTGCTGCCGACGACTTCTTCTTCGTGAACGACGAGCTGGTCTTTCTCCGCAACAAGACGACGAAGGTCATTAAGGGCATCTCCATCGCGGTCCTCATGGATGTGGAGTGCGGCGAGAGGATTGAGACTCTCCAACCATGAGTCATGAAGCTGACGCACGTTTTCCAAGTACTGTACAAACTACGAGTAGGTGCTCGGGCTGCTGAACCCTATGCTCCGGCGCATTTTAACAGCTTTTGGCCCGTGTCAACTGCAGGTATCCTTCCGTAGTTCAGTGCTGTGCAAGGTCATCTGAAGAACGTTGACTACATGTCGTTCTACCGCATTCTGCGGCTCAATGCCCCTAAGGGGCCCCTTGAGCGCCTTAGGCACGACATTTTCTGTGTGAGCTTAGAGTAGAAAATAACATCCGCCATCACGCTACTGCGCAGCTCTGCTGTGGCAACTTGGTGCTGCAGACCTTGTGGGCTGCTTGCTACCTAAACCTCCAAGTAAACCCTAAACCCTAAACCGTTTGATGTGAAATGGGTCTTCCCTCGGGAAGGAGAGGTATGTGAGTGCACTGGAAGCGCTATCCCCTACCTCTAGTCACTGTAGCCCAAAAAAACTGAACTACCTAACCATCTCACTAACTAACCGGCTGACTAAGTATCTATCCATCTACCTAGCGATCGATCTATCTATCTACTTATATGTACATATATATATATATTATACTTTATATATATCTATCTATATATATATATAGATATACCAAAACAAGGAACCCCAACAAAGTAGGTTTTGCGGCTACAGGTAAGACGTGCATTCGGAGTCAAAGATCGAGCTTCGGCTTTCCAGCTGAGCATCGTAATGACAGTAATTGCTAGCAAATTGGGTTTAGGCTTTAGGGTTTTGGGAAGTTTAGGGTGTAGGGGTTTAGGGTTCAGGGTTTAGGGATGTTATGATGTTACGAAACAAGAATAATGATGATGAAAAAGAACGTAGTACTGATCCCACTAGTAACTAGAGTTAGTGTCGTAGCTGCTATTATCAGCATCTTTGGGCCGGCAGGGGCACGATTCGACATGCAACATGCGCCACACTCGAATGCAGCAGCTAGCCCCCCCAGCCCCACACTTGAACACTTCCTGGATTTGTGATAGCCTCAAGCAAGCTGCCTAAGAGTTGAGTTCAATCTGTCTGAGGATAATCGGCGCACTATCGGGCAGTCCCTAAACACGGCAGCGCCAAACCATGCCAGTGCCGTCGACATTTTCGGCTCGACGAGGGTGAACAAGCACCATGAACGATGAGGAGCCGACTAGAACTGACACTATCGGAGCTCTTTCAGAGTCAGCGCAGCAGACGTCTTGCAGTACCGCTCAAGAAAGCTGGGCTCGAAGTGTACCAAAGTGCAAAGCAGGCAAACATCCCAGGTGGTGAAGTCCTTTTGCTCAGGGCTGTATTGGCTAGTCGAGTCTATCGTTGTGATGGACTCTCATAAAGCCTCCTTTCCATGTAAACGAAACGAAGGCCATCTTAGCACAACGTAGGGGTTCCCGCCGTGAAGATGTCGCGACTGGGTTGCCTTGACGCCTGACAGCGCCATCATGGCAATCAGCCGTGTGTTGTAAGTATGAGCAGGAGACAGGTTCCAGTATAGGTATCAGTTCTATAGTCTCTTGCTTCATGATTCACGCAGCTGAACGCATGTTTTCTAATTTGCTTTCATCCATACATGGGCAGGCGTCTCAAGTAGAAGCTACCTTCGCTAGCAGCTGGCCGATTGCATGCATGCACGCATGTACGCATATCTAATTACATTTACATGTATATGTGAGCACTCGTGTGTGTGTGTGTTGTGTATATATATATATATGTGTGTGTGTGTCTCTCTCTCTCTCTCTCGCTCTCTGTCTGTGTCTCTGTCTGTGTCTGTGTCTGTGTCTGTGTGAGCGTGCGTGTGCGCGTGTGCACGTGCGTATGCGCATGCATGTCAACGCATGTCATACGCGTGAACATATTATGATGAGACACTGCCCATGCACAATGTACGGAAAGGCAAACAGATAGTATACAGGTCAAGAAGTAGCTTCCAGCCCTCCTACTTGCTAGATGTCTTTACCCACTCCGTATGATGCTTTGTGACCAACACACAGATATTCATAGCATGGCGCCAACAATGCTCCAAGAATGCCTTGTTTACGCAGCCGTACTGTCCTACTGTATACGATTCAGCTCCGTAGTTGCATCCACAAGAACTCTCTACTAATAGCCTTCTATGCTATAGTTTAATTACCATCTTTTACTATCGTTTAGTATAACTTACTATGGTTTACTTTTGGCTTACGAATACAATTTTGGTGGCGACATGGCGCACAAGCATGTGGCCATGCTGCTTTCTTGAACAGGACCCAGTCCAGAAAGCCTGCTTCTGTGTGGCGGTTTGCAAACCTGACACTCTAAAACCCTAAACTCTAAGCCCTAAACCCCAAAGCCAAGAAGCCCTAAACCCTCAGGCAGACGAGGAGAAAGGTGCGATGCCGCGCGAGATCATCACATTGCAGGCCTCTGCAAGCTTCCACACACCGAGCCCCAGCACTCTTAGTATATGGGGCCTTCATAGTTAGAATCGGGATCCCTTCGTGTTACTGTAAGGGGTACTATGATGGGGGATCAGTATAGGGGCCCTAATAGTTAGCGTGGGGCTTTGGGGAATCTTGGGCTATAACTTTAACAAGGAGCCCTAGTACAGAATTGTGTTACCAGTCAGTTTGAGCATTCCGACGCCTTCTATTCTGTCTATCTACCTATCTGTATACAACGAATCATCTTCGGCGCCCCCCCCCCCTCCCCCCCAAAAGTCTCAGATTGCTGAAAGCCCAACTTCCTAAATCCTCACCGTGCGCTACTGCTAGCGCTGCTACGACGTACTACGACGACGACTCCCAAAAGCCACGGCCACCACTGCGAGTTCGACTCGTACCTCTTGGGAGTTGGCACTACCGCGGTGAAGCAACTACTCGCTGGAGCTTTAGTTAGGGTCTCCTTGCTACAGGGAGCCAGATATGGGCCCAGGCTGCATGTACTGAAAGTTCACCGAAGGTGGGGCAATGTGGCAACCAGATCGGTGCTGAATTCTGGAAGCTGCTTTGTGCAGAACACGGCATCAGCCTCTCGGACTTGAAGGGTTCGCTTTGCTCCGGGGAGCTTTCAGACAGCCGACAGGCAAGTATAGAAGCTCTTAAGGAACAGCCGCGTTGGATCTTGCTATTTACAACAAGGTTCCTCTAGTCACTCTACTGGCACCCTACCAAACCTGGAGTCGAAGAGAAAAGATCAGGGGTCTGCATGTGCAAGGCAGGGATGGCAGAATCATGCCACTGCTGTTACTAGAGCCTGAGAATCTGCAGTCGGCAAGTGCAAAAGCTTGGTGAGATGCAGGCTTGAGATCTAGACTATCATCAACAAACGTGCTGCTAGTACAATAAGGAGAGGTTCGAACATTGGATCATTTGCCCAGGCCCTTGGGTTTAGGTTCGTCCGCTGCTGGGCTGCCGGGATTCTGGCAGCTGAAGTCTTGCGCAGCGGGAGAGCAGGGCGATGATGTGGGTTGTTCTCTAAAGTAGAAGCCGTTTTGGGCTCCTTTTCATAAGGGTACCGTAGTGTATTGGGGGGCTTAAAAAGGGACCCTAATTTAGAGAACTACCCATGTACATCTTAGAAGCCAACAGCTGCTTTCCAAAACTGCCTTCCTCTCAGGCTCCAACTGTGTGGACCTACACTAGACTCTCAAAGCCAGGTAACCCTCCACTCACATCCTAACCCGTAAACCCTCGAAACTCCCAAGATCAGCGTGGCATCCTTGAAGACTTCGCCACAGCTGGTGATGACCGAAAGGACCATCATTCCGGCTTTTGTCAATGTAATTAAGAGGTTTAGTACGAGAGTTCTTCAAAAGGGCTCTACAGGGTTTACTACAGGCTTTGGGGTTTAGGGCTTGGGGCTTATACGGTTTAGTTTGCAACAAACCCTGCACCGTGCTTTTACATCCCAACCGAACTGGACAAGTTTTTTTGTTCGACCAAGCTGACGACGAAACCCTAAACCCCCAAACCCCAGACACCCCTAAACTGGGCCAGGATGTTTTTTTCTACCAAGCTGACGACGAGCACTACATCCCGCGGGCGCTGCTGCTGGACATGGAGCCCCGGGCTCCCCGGGCTTGTTTTGGGAGCTCTCTTGGGTCTTAGGATCTTAGGATTTTGGGGTTTTAGAGTTTAGAGGTCGTAGAATTCTGGGATTTAGGATTTTAGAGATTGGGTCTTAGGATTTTAGGATTTCAGGGTTTTAGAGTTTAGGTCTTAGGATGTTAGGATCTAGGGTTTTAGAGTTCAGGTCTTAGGATTTTAGGATTTAGGGTTTTAGAGTTTAGGGCTTAGGGTTCCCAGAGGGTCTTCGATATATTGACGAGGTGCATTTCAGGATTTGATGTTTCGGGTGTAGGCTTTTTGGCGAGGCCAGGGGTGTAGGGTTTAGGGTTTGGGGTTTAGGAGTTTAGGGTTTGGGGTTTAGGGTTTAGGGTTTGGGGTTTAGGAGTTTATGGTATTCCTTATCTCTCTTCTTCAAGAACCAGGCCAAAAAAAGGTTCAAACTTTTTAAGATAGATCTAATATATAGGGACAAAAAGTTTAAAGTTC